AGGTTTTTCTGGCCATTGGATCTCTATTCCAAGTACTCAATCTTGCTATTGTAGTATGAAAGCAGCCACAGACAACATCTAAATGAGTAAATGTGGCTGCATTCCAACAAAACTTTATTTAGAGGCCCTAAAATTTGAATTTCATATCGTTTACACACATCCCAAAATATTTTTTTCAAAATATTTAATGTAAAAACACTTCTTAGCTCTTGAGTAGAATTTAATAGGCAATAGCAAGTGGCAGGCCAGATTTGGTCTTTGATCTATAGTTCGATGATTCCAGATCTAGACTACAAAACTGTGTCAACAAACAACTCCCCATTCCTTATAAGGCCTCCAGCAGTAAATATCTGAGACTGATCCTGTCCTCTTTTCTTCTATTCTGGAGGCCACTGTATATCTTTGAAAAATCTAGCCTCTAAGTAACATATCAAACAGAAGACTTAACTACTGGTACTTGTTTCAAGGCACAGTGTCGGCATGGATTAAGATGCTCTTTCTCAAAGCAGAGTAACTATCTGTAAATAAAGGTGGATGTGGCCCTGGCTGGTTTGGCTCAGTGCATAGAGTGTCGGCCCGCAGACTGAAGGGTTCTGGGTCCAGTTCCAGTCAAGAGCACATACCTTGGTTGCAGGCTCAATCCCTGGCCCTAGTCATGGCACAGGGTGGGAGCAGCCAATCGATGTGTGTCTCTCTCATTGATGTTTCTCTCTCTCTCTGTCTCTCCTCCTCCCTTCCACTATCTCTAAAAATCAATGGAAAAATATCTTCAAGTGAGGATTAACAACAACAACAAAGTAGATGTATCGAGGGGGAGGTCTCAGTAGCAGAGCACAACCAATACAGCTTTGACTGTCTAAAAAAACACTGGACAAAACCAGGCCATAAGCAACACCCCCTCTCATCCCCATCCACCCTTCCCCAAAAAAAGGAGGAACTTAGATTGTATCTTTCAAAAGTCCTTTCCTAGGTGATGTCTCCTCACTGATACATCTCCCAGCAGAGAAAGTGCAGGAAGAGCAGCAGCTTACACACTCTTCATGGGGGAAAGCAAACAAACAGAAAACACAGAACTATCAGCGCAAACATTATAGCCACCACTCTGGTATTTTCAAGAAACCTCTTTGGCTATAGTTTAAGCCAAACCTAGAAAATTAGTCTGAAACCGATTTCTATTTGTGGCTTAAAAAAAAATCAACACAGCCTCATCCACTGTTAATTTCTAAGATGGCATGCAACTCTGTCTTAAGAAGAGTTACTATACAATTTCGATACCATAAGTCTCTAAAAACCTTCTAATAAAGATAATATTAACTTCAAAATAGATATAGATGTTTCCCTGAGTTCAAAGAATTAAATGGAGGTTGGGGTGGGGGCCACAGATATGGTATAGGATATAGCCCACACGTCTGAAGACCATTATATACCAAGAAGCCAGAATCTTTTACATGTTAGTGCCAGCTCCTGACTAATTCATAAATCATTCCTCCAAAAAAATGCAGGCTTATATAATCTATGCCTGGTGTCCCACCATGTCCTAGAACCACAGAAATATTAAACACTAGCTTTGTCAGGAGCCAAATAATCAACAATTTGGGGAGAAGAAATCATTCAGGCCCAGAAATTGACTTCAATTTGAAATGACTCTGCAGGAATTTTGCCCGCTGTTATCTTCCCTGGTCAGACCTGTGCTTTGGTTGTATTGTTACATTTACTGTGTGTGTGAGAAAGTTGTATGCATTTCTAGAATGGCATACAACTCTGTATTGAAGGGTTACTATAGAGTTCCGATACCATAAGTCTCTAAAAACCTTCTAATAAAGATAATATTAACTTCAAAATACATATAGATGTTTCCCTGAGTTCAAAGAATTAAATGGAGGTTAGGGTGGGGGCCATGGGTACACTTACTGTGTGAGACATACAAAAATACTAAATGTAAATTGTTACATTTACTGTGTGTGTGACAGGGCTCTGGATGTTGGGTAGGAGCCCTAGAAGGCAGGATACTACCAAGCCAAAGAGCAATCATCTTATTATGTAAAGACTTTAAATTGAGAGATTTCATAATATGCAGTGGTTGTTTCCCAGACTCTAACCCTCTCCCAAACCCTCATTGCCATCACCAATCATGAACTATTCCACAGAGCTTTCCTGGTCCATGAAGGAAAACTTTTTAGAGATTGTAAGTCACCAAAACTTGTAATAATGAGTTAGTGGCACAAAAAGGACCAAATAATTGTGTCTCTATGGCTCTGAGTGCCATACAGGCCACTATTCAATTAGCAAAGAATCTGTCAGGATGAATCAGACTACCAGCTAATAGAATGGCAGGAAGGGGCTGACCAAGCTGAGGGCAATTCAAAGAGGCTTTCAAAAACCAACTTAACAAGTCTTGTGAGCTTTATTTAAATGTGATGGAAAAGCTACAAAATAGTTCTTTCAAGCTTTCAAATCTCCCTTCTGATCTGCCAATCTTGAGAGAAGAAAAGGGAGTTTCTGAGAACAAGAGGCATCTTCAGGCACTGAGAGTGCTACAAATACAAAGCAAAGCTCGCACATAAATTCTCCAATGCAGGTTTGCCTGCTCCCATGCAGGCTCTGTCTAAAGCCATGGTAAAAGCAGCTGGGGGTGCCCTAGCCAGTTTGGCTCAGTGGAGGGAGTGGCAACCTGTGGACTGAAGGGTCCTGGGTTGGATTCCAGTTAAGGGCACTTGCCTGGGTTGCAGGCTTGATCCCCAGTAGGGGGCATGCAGGAGGCAGCCAATCATTGATTCCCTGTCATCATTGATGTTTCTCTCCCTCTCTCTCTAGCTCTCCCCCTTCCTCTCTGAAATCAATAAAAATATATATTTTTTAAAAAGCAGCTGGGTTCAGTGGAGGGTATTTTCAGTTCTCAGAAAGGGAAATACATAATGAAGCTCACAATTTAAAGCAAAAGCAAATCACAAAAAGCTGTTATTTCACTGATTATCCAGCTCTACCATGTCTACCACAGAGAACTTGACTTCCCTAGGTAATCTGTGAGGAAGTTACCAAACAATAAAATACAATAATGATTGAGATGCAAAAAATCATAATCAGATAAAAAATTAGATAACTGGCTAACTAAAAGCTGGCTCTATCTGCCACTCACTGTTGGGTGACAGTGGCAGACACTGGAATAGAGAAAGATGATAAAAAGGACATCATCCTAGAGTCCCTTCTCCAGATAGCAGCCAGTTAACTTTTTTTTTTTTTTTATGTTTTTATTAACTTCAGAGAGGGAGTGGGAAAGAGATAGAATCATCAATGATGAGAGAGAATCATTGATCAGCTGCCACCTGCACACCCTACACTGGGACTGGGTCTGCAACCTGGGCATGTGTCCTGACCGGGAACTGAATTGTGACCTCCTGGTTCATAGGTTGATGATCAACCACTGAGCCATGCTGGCCAGGCCAGCTAATCTTTTTAAAGGAAGTTAAGCACAGTCCCTCTGTGCTCAAAGCCCTCTGTTGTGAGTTGACCTGGATTCCCTCAAAAAGATGTGTTAAAGCCCTAACTCCCAGTGTTTGCTAACAGTAACTTTGCAGATGTAACCAAGTTAAGATGAGGTCATACTGGATTAGGATGGTCCCTAAACCCAATGACTGGTATCCCTGTAAGTATGCCATGTGAAGACACAGATAAGTAGAGAGAAGAAGGCCATGTAGTGAAGGAGGCAGAGACTATCATAAGCCGAAGAACACTAAGAACTGCTGGCAACCACCAGAAGTGAGAAGAAACAAGGAAGAATTCTTCCCTAGGACTTTTGGAGGGAGCGTGGCACTGCTGACACCTTGATTTCGGACTTCTAGCCTCCAGAACTGTGAGAATACATTCCTGTTAAGCCACCCAGTTTGTGGCCCTTTCTCAAGGCAGCCGTAGGCAGCTAACACAACCTCCACTGGCTTCCTATCTCACTCAAAAAGAAAATCGCAGCACCATTACAATATGATCCGTACCGCCCCTTACCTGGGTGACTTCAGCAACTACTGCTCTCTGCCTCATCACTCCACTCCGGCCACAATGACTCCCCTTCACTGGGCCTCAAACATGAGGCCACACGGCCCTGTCTCAGACCTTTGCAGATGCCATTCCCTCTGCTGGAAGGTTCTCTCCCCAGGAATCTGCAAGGCTGTTCCCTCAATCTTTTTTCAAGGCTCTGCTAAGACTCCTTATCATTAAACCCCCATCTAATTACCCTTCAGCATCTCGTACCCCCTCCCCATATACAGTATATCTCTTTCCCCGAGTCACTTTGTTCTCCATAATACTTAAGACAAGCTAGTGAAATTCACTTAGCTTTTAAAAGGTCCATGGCCCTCTGCAGTGAGAGCAGAACTTTTTCCCTGCTGAATCTCAGTGCACTCTACTGAGCAAATAAATTCTATCAAGGCAGGTGAAATTTTACTCCAAACTGGCTGAGTGACAAAAAAGATTTCTGCTAATTAAGTGGAACAGCAGAAGCCTTTGTAGATGAAGGGCAGGCTCACCACCATTCCTGTGTGAGGAAGAGCAATTTTGAAACAGCCTCTTAAGATTCCTCCTTATCTACAAAATGTCGACTCTCACCTATAATTTTTGTCTCCAGCCACACCCTGTAGAAAGCTACTTAGCCTGGGAAATTGGTGAAGTCAAATCTAAACCTGCGTCCAGCACTGCATTCCTACACACGTTTTTGTTTTGTTAGGGGCCGAGGGGAAGGGCCCAGCAGGTAGGTTTTGATGATGACAATCTCATACTATAAATGCACAAACTACTTGGGAAAGGAAGCCTCTCAGACTACCAGGATCCTAAAAAACAAACATTTCAAATAAACCGGGAGCTTTAAAACTGCTCTTACACAATGATGAGACAATCCAAACCTTTTTTTTTTTTTTTTTTTTTTTTGGCCCTACATCAATACTTTTCCCTCCCTCCTTTACATTTTCAAAACTTTAAAGCAAAAGAGACAGACAGTGAGAGTCTTTCCTCACCTTGGGTTTTGGCCACAGGTCCTGCTGATCCGAGTGCCGAATCACAGCAGTCTTTGAGAGGTGTCTTGACGGGTGTTTCAACTTCAGGCGTCTCAAAATTACCTTCAGAATCCGAGCTGCCAAGGGGGAAAAATGAGGGATTACCACTTTCAACGGTATTTCCGACAGCCTTGACAATCTATCAAAACGGCTATGAAGTCGGGGATTTTTGCCTAACGACACAACCCCCTGGTCCTCGGCACCAATGATTGGCCACGGCCAGATGCTGCGGATTTTTGTCTGGCATCCCGTCTCCCTGAATTCGCCACCATCCTTCAAAGCGTTTCAATCCAGCACCATGTATGTGGATGTCCTCGTTCCCTGACACCCAGGAATAAAAGCTCTTTTCAACGGGCTCCTTTTCTCACAAGAGCCCTTTTCCAGACCCTTCAAAATTAAGATTGCCCCCCTCTCCCCTCCACCCCCTAAAAAAAATTAAGCCAATTCTCGCAGGATGCCTTTTTCTCCGGCAGGCCTCTACCTGTTTTTAACTCCCCCGGTCCGAGGCGGAGGATGCTGTCACCTGCCTTCTGCAATCACACGGGTGACAGCACAGCGGAGACCACCCTTTCTCGCCAGCTGCCAGGGGCATGTCATCACGCGACCTTCTTTCCCAAGAACGTATTTTTTGGGGACACAGGGGGATCCCCGGGTGTGATCAATGACACTGTGAGAGTGTGTGTGCGCGCGCGGGCACGCGCAGGGCCGGGGAGCCGGGAGATGGAAGCTTTTAGAGAAGGTGACTGAGGCAGACCGGGGTGCGGAGAGACCGCAGATTCTGGGTTAGAGGTTCAGAAAGCTCCTATTTGAAAAGGGGGAACGAAAAATACACGGGGAGGATGGCACATCTTGAACTTCCGAACGCACAGCGGGGGGGACCTGGTTGCAGGCAGGGACGCGGCATTGCCACGAAGATGGTCACGCGGGCGGGTGGGCGACCACACACACACACACACACACACACACACACACACACGCACTCAGAGCGAGCAGCGGATGGATGGGCGGATGAATGGATGGGCGGCCGGGTGGACTGATGGCAGCACGTCTGCATCCCAGCGGGGATGCGTGTACTTGCCTGAAACTCAAGGATTTGGTCTCGGCTTGCGAGTCCTCCTCCTCCTCGGGGTCGCCCTCGGGCCCTCCGGCCTCGGCCTCGTCGCCGTCGTCGCCGGCGCCCCCGCCGCGCACCGCGGACCACGTCCACTTCGCCCACTGCACGGGGGACAGGATCTGCCACGGGCTGAACGCCATGAGCGCGGGTCCTCCGGCTCCAACTCCTACGAGGTGGGGAACGGGAGAGCTCCTTTTTCCCCCCCCTTTCAAAATGGAGGTAAAAAACGGTGACAGGCGCCGTTGCCAGCGGAGGAGGCGCGGATGTGGTTAAACGAGCGCCGTCGGGGCCGCGGTTGGAAGCGCTTCCTCTTGACCCGCAGGCAGCGCCGCTTCCTCCCAGTGAGTCCTCCTCCTCCGTCCCCAATGGGGCGGCCGCGGCGCCCCCCTGCGCCCGGCGACTCCCTCCGGGAAGATGCTTGTCCTGGGGCCTCCCCAGGGCCCCGGCCCGCGACGCCCGGCGGCAGCTCGGGGACTCGGGGCGCTCGGAAGCCCAGGTCCCGCTTCCCCGCCGGCGCGCTGCGCATCAGCTGCCGCGGGAGCCGCGCCCCGGGAGCCGCCCCCTCGGACCGTACTACTTGCGCGCGCGCGAGAGGGGTGGCGGCCGCGGCGGCCGCGCTTTGATGTCTGCGGCGCTGCCCCCGAAACCCCCCGCCGCGGCGCCACGATGGTCGCGTCCGCACTGCGGGCAAAGGGGCTTCCCGTCCGAGGCTGGGGGCTGCGGGGCGGAGGACCCAGGCACCCAAAGGGCTCCGTCAGCGTCCCGAACTGGGAAGATCCATTTTTTTTTCTGGGTCCGCGCACGCCGGACCTTCCCCTTTTTTCCTTTTTATTTTTATATTTTCTTTAGGACGTTGCCGATGATGGATCGCACAGAATTTAAGCCCCCTTATAAAAAAAAAAAATATTTTTTTTTTTTGAGGCCGCCTTAGGCTGGCGTTTTCCCTCCCCGATCCTGACAGCGTGGAAGATTTCAGCCCGGTCACCTTCAACCTTAGCACCCCTAGGATTTGGATAATCCGTCAGCAATGCTGCAAGCGTTAGCCAAGGACTGGAAACTTAGATGCTTGGTCCCTCCCCAAACCGCACTCGTGGGCGCTTTGGCGGCCAGGTCTTGGGTGAAGGGTGCTGGATTACCCTGTGAAATGATAGCCTGATTGGTTTCCCATCCTCCTTTTGTGATGCGTCCTTTTCATAACTTCCAAGTCTTTGCTTTCTGACTTCGCTTGCTGCTCCACTGTATGCCAATGGGCTGCCGGGCGAAGGCAGCCTTCAAATTAAAAACCCTCTTCATGTTGGAAGGCAGAACTCTCGGAGGGCTTCTTCAGTGTCCAGTTAGGGATGGCTCCTCTACAGAACACCGAGCTCTTGTACTGTTATAATTTCCCAGGGGTATGGTGCATCCGTGAGGGGGTTGCAGGTCCCCACAGAGAGAGCAGCTCCAGAACTTAGGGACAAATCTTTGTTGATGAATCAGGACTGTTTAAGCAAAAATAATGGGAGGGCTGAGGAGGAGCGCATGGCAGGTTGCCTTACCATAACAGAAGGGCAGGGGTTTGCCGAAGTCTAGATGAAAGGGTTGGGGGTGTCAGGATGGGTATAGAATTTATCCAGCATCTTCTCAGAAGTAAACACAACTGTCATGAGTGTTCTGGAGACTATGAAGAGGTGAAGTAAGCAGGAGTCTTTTTTTTTGTTTTGTTTTGTTTTTTTTTTTTTTTAGGTTTACATGACTATACCACCACACTATCCAACTGTATTTTTAGGTTTATGGTACACCACATAAACCTTTCGATTATAAGGTTCCCCAGGTTCCGGTATTTAACACAAGTGTTTTTGCTGCCTGGAAATAACAGTATCCCATGTAAAAGAGTAACTGGCACGGCCTAGGTCCTGTCCATTCTTCCTCCTGAATAGTTCTCAAATTTTTTCATTACTCAGCAATGTCTCCCAACTGGTTCTACCAGGGGTTTTTCTTACCCCGGGTCACTGCCTGGCTGATCTGTGACTTGTACTCTAGTCTTGCTGCTTCTGCCACTCCACATTCCCAGCATTTTGTTTTCCTAGCCATCATTGGCAGAGAATTGGTTCTGATCCTTTACTATGTCCAAGAATCATCTGGGGCACAAATTCAAAATACCATTAGGACCTGGAAATCTGTATCTTTACCAAGTGTCCTGGGGAATGTCACAGGATACATTTTGGGGAAAATGACTAGTTTGAACCAACTAATTGCTTCCTCCGGAACAATATCCCTTTTGCCTGCAGTTATGCATAGTCCTCCCCCCTTCCTCCACCTTCAGCTCTCTGAGCTTGACTGCCTGAACTTCCGCACCAATTCTGGGAAAGCATGCTGGTTTCTCCATCCTTTTTACCATCTCTCTACCCCAAACATCCAGAAAGACTTACTGTGGCCCTAAGGTCATTTTGAAAGGAGGCACTATAAATACTAGTTATACCAAGACAACAGACATAAACAAGGGCATCTCTGGATGTAAGGTCACCCTACACTTAGCATACTATATATAATATATTTGTTTACTTCTCTGCCCCACTCTGCACCGTAAGCTTTAAGTGGCAGGGACCAACCACATTGGATTTATGATTCATTTTTGTTTCCCCAGGAATTAGGATGGCCACACATTCCGTAAGTGTTTAAGAAATGTGCAGAAAAGGAATATTCTAGTTTACTAATGGACACATGAGTTAGCTAGTGTGAAAAATTCCTAAAATGTGACTCCTCCTGAAGAAATCAGGGTCTTGAACCAGCACAGGGACAACTGATGGCCCCAAGAAGATAAAGCCTGGCCTGTACAGCAGTTTCTTGAAACTTGAGAAGCAAATGCTCAGTGTCTGAAAAAGCACTCCTCTGCAAGCTCCTGCACTCAATGTGGACAGCAATAGAGCAACTGCTCCATAGTTCAAAGTGATTGTACTGCCTAGAAGCACAACTAAGGAGACTAACTGATATGTGGATTTTCTTGTAATGCTGGGCAAGTGGGCAATGTTTGACAACAGGCATTCCAACCAAAGTAAACAATCATTTTGCTGCTTCGTCCTCAACTTCATGGAACGAAATGTCTGCAAATACATGACCATAAGCACAGAAAGGATCCCATCTGTTCTCTTCCTTCCTCTGCCTCCTGCCCTTCACAGAAGCTCTGGATCAACACACCATGAAAATCTAAAAGATAACTCCCTTGAAACACACGACAATGGTAGCCAGGCCAGGCACAGACTTTGAAGCTAATGGATGCTCCGGAAAGATCTGGGAAATGGGTCTTTGAGGTTAAAAATAATAATAATAATAATAATAATAATAATAATAATTATATATATATATATATAATTATTATTATTATTATTATATATATATATATATATATATGTAAGCCAGGTCAAACAAGCACACAACAATCCATTCAGTAGCATAACTACTGTGAGAATGCCCATGGGAACATGGCAGGAGGTGAGGGGCAGAGGTGGGATGGGGCCTAGTTGGGAAGGATCCTGTACACCTACCTGTTAAGGAGTCTGAACTTGATCCTGTAGTGGGGGGAGCAAGCACAAGTACCTACCTTTATAATATAAGGGAGTGACAAGGCCTGGGTGGTAGCTGTGCCACCTGGAAAACACTGCCTTGGCTAAGGGGCAACCCTACCCAGTTCCTGGTACCCAGTGTTGCCACTGAACAATTTTCCAAGAGAAACCAAAATCCTGGGTTTCATAAAAAGTCTCCAATCTTTAAAGTTCTCACTAATTTAAGTCGTCTAAAACTTTGTGGATGCCAACACAGTGCATGACAAACAAAAGCCATCTACCTGTGCACCTGAGTGGCCCTCAGAGCCTGGAAAGACAGAGCGAAGTCATTGGGTTTTGAGCAAGTAACATTTCATTTAGAAACTCATTCTGGCCATCCTCTGGTTTTGTCAGAGGATAGAGCATCAGCCTGAGGACTAAAGGGTCCCAGGTCCAATTCCAGTCAAAGGCATATACCTTGGTTGCGGCCACATCCCCAGTGGGGGATGTGCAGGAGGCAGCTGATGGATGTTTCTCTCTCATCAATGTTTCTGACTCTCTATCCCTCTCCTTTCCTCTCTGTAAAAAATCAATGAAATACTTTTTTTTTTTTTTTTTTTTTTTTAAGAAACTCATTCTGGCAGAAACCTGAGGGCTGTGAAATTACTACTTTCCCTGCTCCCAAACTGCCTCAAGCAGGGGACAGCTTCTCCCCAGAGGGCAAAGGAAGCAAAACTGGAATAAGTGTCCTTATCTTTCTTTCATTCCATTTGTACACTAAGTGTCAGTGCTGTAAGCAAGACAAGCACCACAGGAACACTTTAAAATGGGAGGAAAGGTCTCCTGCTAAGAAAATGGCGTCCCCGACAGCCAGCCTGTGAAATGGGAAGACATCTGTGAGATGATGTGGAGGGAGTGAAGGAGGCAAGGAGGGAGGACAAGGTCAGGATGACACTAAGGAATCACAGAGATAAAAGGGCCACTGAGCTACCAGAAAGGTCAGGCCCACAGACAAACAGGTCAACTTATCTGTATTTTCTAACAACTTAAGAATTTGATGAGCAAAAGACACATTTACTTCGACTGAGATTAAACGTCAGATTGATGAGGTAACCAAAGTCACTGGGCAGCTTTGAAGGTAAGAGAATAATTGAAAAGCACAGATGAGGACATGTACTGGGGGGTAGGGGAGGCATATGTACCACTATTTGAAATACTTCAAACAATAAAAAATGTTTAAAAAGTTAAAAAAATAAAATAGTGCTTTATATCAATAAAGTTTCATTTGACCCCTATAGTCATTCTCTCATGTAGCATCATGTTTTCTCATTCTCAGTTTGCTGACTGAACCAGAAAGGGCGACCACCTGCCAGGAGTCACACAGCTATTTAACACCACAGCTGAATCTAGAACCTTGCCTCCTGCCTTGCAGTACTCTCTGCACTATATCAAACTGCAGGAAAGCAGAATGCCCTGGGGCTAGTGATTCCATTGGTTAGACATTCCTTGAAAATTGTTGTTGCTACTACAGCCTGCTTCCTGCTTATGTGGTACCAGCTGCAAAATCACAGCTAGGATATCCCCCTTCCTCCCTCAGTGGAAAACAGGCATTGTCAATAGGAAGCCTGCTTTCCTTACCGACCTCAGTCTAACTAGGCAAGAGCATGCTGATGTCTGTGCAAGACAACATTGTCAATAACAGCATCTGACCATATTCCTCCCTGTTAACATTACAGTCTTAACCTTGCAAGATCTGATGTTATCCCCTATAGAATATATATTCCACTACCTAAACACACCCAAATCAGGGACATATATTTTATGATGTTTACACTTAACTGGCGTTGTTTTAGAGCCACTTTATGAGGTTCTCTCTATTCCCATCAAATATCATGACAATATGTGTACTGACTTGATAAGAAAATTCATGATAGTTCTCTACCCTGGAGTGTAAGAGTATTAGAGAAATAGTTGTTGAGGACAAACGATATAAATAGAATTAGGTCGGTCTGCCCATTCTACG